TCTCACATTTACCATCCACTGTGTCTTCATTACATGCGTTTGATTGGTTGGTGCATGAGTGTTTGTGCGCACACACATTTACACGTGTTGGTGTGTGTCTGTGTTACACTCCTCTCTGTTTGTGCGATTGTTTTGCTCAAGCATGTGCTCCCCGAGAGCGTATGTGTGCTTTTTCCGACTGCGGGTACAATTTATGATGTGTCCTTTTTTTCTCTTCCGAATCCAGGAGTCCCCGTCAGGACCCCTAGGCGTCCCTGTGCCCGCCTGCCAAAAACGTCTGCATCTCCTGGACCCCCTCGAGGCAGGGGACAGCCAAATGTCACTTGGACCCTCTACAGAGTGGTGAGAGGAGGACAGGAAGAAGCGAATGGGAGAGGGGGATGGCGGTGGAGGAAAAGCGGAAGGAGAGGTAAAAGATAAACAGGATAGACTTGCAAAAGTGTTTAAGACGACAGGAAGATTACTTTGCAAATGCTGTTCAATTCTCTTCTATTGTCCCAGATCTCATTTTCACATTTACTCATCCCCAACTCTTCAAACTTTCTCGTTTCTAGTCAAGCCAAATTTATCACCAATGAAGCTGGATAAAAGTTCATAAACTATTTCTAATTTCTGCGGCCGTCGAACTGCAAGTTCCAATCTTTTATGCTTATGTTATTTTCTAATTGCTTTTTTCTCCAAAAGGTCACTGTGACTCCACAAACGTCTTGGAGAAATTTTCAATTTGGATCTCATGTTCTTTTGAACGTAATATATCAGGGGCACCCATAAGGAATTTCATTACATCTACACTCAACATTCTTTGAATTTGAATTTGAATTTCTTCATATTTTGGTCAGATGAACCAAGTTGAACTAATTAGATTTTAGTGGTCGAAGGTTGAACCTTGTGTGAGTCTGTATTTATGGAGACAGGAACTGCACTGGTCGGAGGAGGCGTACAACTGCAGTGCGTTAAGCATCATTGAAAACTGAACACAAAGTAATTGAAATTGAATTCTCAGCTCCATTACATGTGTTAACGCTGATTTTTTGTTGTTGTTGCAGCTCGTAGACGAAGCTTTCTCTCTAAATCAATTAAATGTTAAATGCGGTGTAACATTACATCTGATAAACACTTTGCATCCAAATTACTTTCAGTCGTGTTTCTGTTGGAGTCAGAAAGTCCCTTTAATTTGTTAATAAACGTCTATGTCCAACTCCCCCATTCATCATCTGTGTGTATGTGTGTGTGAGTCTGTGTGTGTATGTGTGTGTGTCTTGCTCCTTTGTTGGGGGACATGTCAAGACAATTAGAACATGTATTCATGCAGCAGACTGTGAATATAAATGTAGTTATTTTTTAATAGGAAATACGCTCAGTTTAATTGTGTGTGTGTGTGTGTGTGTGTGTGTGTGTGTGTGTGTGTATAAGAGGTACATGAGGTAGATGAAGGAGTATGAAGGGATAAAAACATGTCTTCTTCTAGGTCACAGCTGCTGAGATGAAAACACACAAACACTTGTAACCTTCTGCTTTACCCTAATTCCCAATAGACCTGTACACACACATACACACACACACACACACACACACACACACACACACACACACACACACACACTCAAATAAACATGTACAATGTCTATAATGTCTTCAAGTCCCCCGAGTGTCCTGCCGCACTGGGGGATGTACAGCATCGAACTGGGATGTTCATGGAACATGCACATGAAAAGAAACAAAAGAGCAGCCTTCATACTTTTGTTACTGATTGATACAACGGGAACATTTCTGCACCCATTGTGGGTCAAGTCCACAGTGAATAAGAAAAAGACTTAACCATGATGAACAGATTTAATTCCAGAGTGAAGTAATAATACAACAGAGGAGGAAAAAAGCTGAAGTTTTCGCTGTATTTATCCAGATCGAATTGTAAAAAGAGTTTTCTCATCACATAATAAATCATATTGTAGTGACTGTTGGGCATTTTTATGGTTTAGTTTGGTTTATTTGGGGAAAACTAAGCAGAGCATGAAGACTCCTCCATCTTCCTCTATTCCCATGTACACAGCAGACTGCAGTACGAACACAACTGATTGATTCAGTTATAGGAGAGAAAATCTCACAAGATCACAAAAGAAACTGAAGCAAATAAAACAGGGATCCTACTTGCCTCCCTCACATTAATAGTAGAAAATAATTAATAACAAAGAGGGCTTTTCATCTCAGCAGGGACAGACTAGAAAAATGATGGCCCTGGAACTTTCAATTGCAGTTTATCTTCATACATGTTGCAGCATTAGCTTGAAATGATTTCAGGGTTTTTTCTTCGTGGCCCCTGCAGGTAAGTGCTTGTTTAAAGTTTGTATTTTTGTCCATTTTGCTCGGCCGGCGCTCCTAAGAACTGCTCAAAAGAGGAAAGTTTGCAACTTCTACCAGAAGCGAAGAAGCAGCAACACAGTTCAGTTTCGTTTTTCGCGTGACAGCAGCCTAGAATAAGAAATCCTCCAGGTGGTCCCGACGGCCAGTCCGACTACCTGCCAGGTTTGCTGTCAAATGTTGTTTACGATATTAACGACATAGCTAAATCGACGCTCAGCGACAGTCTGCTTGGGAGTTAGGAGAAGTTAAATGGTGAAGAAGCACACAACAGGTGAACGCCACCACACTGAGGCAGGGACAGACAACATCCGAATACAAATTGTGACTCGGGGTCATAACAATTTAAATCACTCAGTCCAAGACTGCAGTATCTTCAGTAGCTAAAGTAGGTCTGTTAAAATGCTGGAATAATGCTGCATTAAAAAGGCAGGTAAGTTAGAATTAGCAGAGAGACCGGGTGTGTAATTAGACACATTGTCGTTGGTTTACACTCAGGTGTATAATTCAAGCAGCCATGCACATTAGAGAAGAATGAACAGGCTTCAGCTAGTAGCTTTATCTCTCCAAACAGCAGCTACACTGCAATTACAGATGAGAGATAGGTGTGTGTGTGTGTGTACGTCCACTAATGGCTGTGTGGACGCGACAGTTTAAATGTGTTCATTTGTAACATTTTATCCTGGTTCACCTCACTCAGCCACTGACGCGCAGCAAACACACACTCAACGGCACACACACAAATACACAAGCTCACAAAGCAGAGAAGAGGAAGGAGAGACGAGGACACAACACAGAGTGAAGTAAGAGCGAGAGAGTGAGAGAGAGAGAGGCAAAATGATCTGCCAGCCCATTTCCCAAATCAGGTAGATTTCCTCCAAACTCTGGGACTTTTTCAATTCAGGGATCTTTCCCTTCCTTTTTAATTGTTTCTTGATCACGGTTTTGTCCGAAATATAAAAATTGAAGGCCTGTTTTTTTATAATCTTTTCTAATCCCCTCTGCCTTTCTGTCACAAATATCTCGAAAACATTCAATATTATTGGATAAATAATCGGCAATCAAAATTAGGAGTTAAAAAAATATGTAAGTGTCATTTATTAACAGTTAAAACAGTAGCTTGGGTTCATATGAACTCGAAAACTATGAGAAATTATTAGTTTTGCCATGTTCACAGATAAGAGGATTTAACCTTATTCCAGAATGCATTGTGGGTAGATATAAGTAGCTGTATGCGTCACAGAGGAAGAGTGAGCAATGTCCTTTAAATCATGATCCATTAGTTGCATTATTTGAGCCACTAAAGCCTCACATAGTGAGATACATCAAACATATTAATCAATCTTAAGTTAAACATTTTAAATGCTAATTTAACAGGAAGCAGAAATGCAACAACAGATGTGCTTGGTGCTATGTGGTGGCAGGAATTGGCCAGTGATGAGGGCTGCACGTCCACATAATAATCTAATATTTACACGTCCTCATGATGCAACAATTTCTCTTGATGCCTAAATGGGGGGTCAAGGTTTTAAACTGCAAACTGCAAATTATTTTGCTCATACGCATTTATCCAATACTATTTTTCCTCCAGACTGATTAGAAAGGCCGTCCTGTAAATACCAACAATTGCAAACACTTCATATTAAAGGATATTTTCCCTTGGGTGTCAATAAAATAAGCTATTTCTGTGGCTATTCAGGTTTTGGACTGAAAGGGCATCAGCTACAGACTTAAATCCTCATTCAGTGGAAAATACTAAGCTTTATGCAGTGTATGTTTTAATGGTGTTCTGGAATTTGATTAATCCAAATTGTATCCTTCTTTAAATGTATAAAACATGCAAAGTTAATTAAAATGTGCAAACTACCTCCTTTCAGCACGTTTATCAGCTATTCATATTTCATTAATTAAAGTTACGAGAGACATGATCATTAATAGCTGCTCACTTAGCTCCCTCTTGTGGTTATTTGCTGCCACTACATTTCAGTCGCAGTTGTGAGTGTGGGATTTTCTGCCATTCCAAACAAATGGAGGAGACATGTACACAGAGACAATTTATTAAAGTAGAAATAAGTAATATAAGAATAGAGTGGGTAATATAATAGATATAATATATAGTAAAATGATGTGATAGTGAAAAAATGGAATAGTGAAACAAGTTTCTTCAGCAAATATTCATAGTTCGGGACAGGGTTCTCTTAAAGGTACATTTAATTTTTCTGAAATCTTCAAAAGTCCTTCAGGGAACATTATACGAAGGTTCAGTTGCGATTACATTTTTGTGCCCATTTCATGGAACGTTTTCTGCAGGTTACATTTGTGCAACCAGCAGAACGCTCTGCAAAGGTTCCCCTGAGGAAACATTTTGGCAATCTGAAGGAAACTACAAGTTGTTTTTTTGGGGCAACCAACAGAGAACCTTCAGGGAACAATGTTGGGCCCAGTTCCATTTCATGCTGCAGGGACCTCAGAGGGAACATTACGCAAGCTAATCAAGCTGCAGGTATTTAAAATATGTATTTGTATCCTAATTATTGTGTAATTTAAAACCATCTCCCATGTTTAGTTTAGTTGGTATCTATTAATCCGTGGAGATTAAGTATCTGGCCCTGATTGGCTGTGTTGGGTCACACCCACCAAAACAGGAAGTCTCCTGTTTTAGTTTGCAGGCTAGTTAGCCAGCTAGCCTTGCTGCTAGCAACACAGGGAGGTCGCAGTGATCCAGGAAATGTTTTAATCGTGTTGACAACAGGTCAGTGTCCCCGCTAACAGAGCTTTTAGTCGGATGCAAGTGTGGGTAAAAGTGTACGTTGATGTTAGTTTGCGTTTTTTAACTTGTACGGGCCCCTGAAGTCTGAAGATTAGCCCGCAAGCTAGCTGGGTGTAACGTTAGCCTGGCTGTCAGGTTCCAGTTTCTGTGGAATCAGCTGCAGGGTTCAGAGACACTTTGTGCCCGGCGTCATCTTCCCGTGTCTCACCCTCCAGGCACCGTAACATGAAGTCATGGAGGAGCGGAAGCTAAAGAGAAAGAGCCCAAGGACCTCCACCAGCACCGCGGCTCCGACCGGGGGCTCCGGCCGGAAGAACAGCGCTTCCACCGGGGGAAGGCACGTCGGCTCCGGCTTCAACACAGGAACCAACCAGAAGAGCAAGAGGAGGTAGGAAGTGTATTTAACTCGTGACCGCTTCATGCCATCTTGTTTATCTGTGACAGGATTACAGATCTGATTCACAGGAAGTGGAATCACTACTTTCTGTTTTCCAGGGGAGTCAGAGATAAACCCAGGTGTCAGGCGGGTTCAGGGGGGAAAACGAATCAGAACCAGGGCCAAGCAGCACCGATCATCCAGCACTCGTTTCTGACGGATGTGTCAGACGTCCAGGAGATGGAGAAGGGCCTGCTCAGTCTCCTCAATGACTTCCACTCAGGGAAACTACAAGCTTTTGGTAATTCACACAAGACCCATAATGTTAACTGAGCCTTTAAAGGAATAGTTCACCCAAAAATGAAGATTCCCGCATTGTTTACTCGCCACTATTGCCACTGTTTCAGTCCACAAAACACAATCTGACAGCAGCTCTCTGTGTTTTCTTCATCTCAGGCAACGAGTGCTCCATCGACCAGATGGAGCACGTGAGAGAGATGCAGGAGAAGCTGGCCCATTTGCACTTTGACCTCTATGGAGAGGTGGACGAGATGCCGGAGGACCAGAGGAAAACGGCCTGTGACACCAACATGGACAAGTTGCTTCTAAATGTAAGGCAGCCGCAGGATTTATACATTTTTGCAAAGTAGCATTATTTTTGAAATATTACAGTTTATGATATTTTAATAAACAGGACCATGACTTTGATGAAAAGCCCCACAGAACTACAGGTCTAAGATTAGCTCTACAAATATTTGTCATGCAACACATTAAGCTCATTACGTTGCATGATTCTGTACAAAGCTGTTCATGGGTGGGGTGTTGGCTACTTAAGTTCCCAGCAAGGATTTTGCTGCTTTCTTTAGTTTAAGTATTAAACTCTTTAGGAGTTTAGTTTGTTGCATGTATAACAGGAGAAAGTCTAAAATGTGATATATTATTATTAAGATCTAAATATGTTTTGTCTTCGCAGCTTGAGGAGCTGAGTTCTTCTATGTATCCTTTTGCTATCAAGCCCTTCATTTCTTCTCCATGTCATTTCATCTCAATCTTTATGTTTCCTGTCCCGTCTGATCCTGTGAAACACAACTATCCTTTTGTCCTTGACCCTGCGTTTCCAGTCAGAAGCTGAATCTCGCTGATACACAAGAGATCCCGAGGACTGCCAGCATGTGATTTCGTCTCCTCTGTCTTTTCTCAACCTCATATGATCTACTTCTGTTATACCACACAGAGAAGGTGGAGTTGAAGCGGCTCACCAGCGTTCCCCGTCTGCACAGCGGTATGGATGTATCGTAAGATGTCCGAATAAGGATGCACCAACAGCTTTATGTTTACTGCAGCAGCGAGTGCAAAATACAGTGTATGTAGAAAATAGCACAGAGTAATGAGGAGAGTACAGTCTATTTTACACAGTGGCTTTGGTGCATCCCTATTGTGGCTTCTTCAAAGTCAAGTTGTAGTCAGTTCCCTTGTTTCCAAACATTCTGCATTTGCAATTCTTTGCTTACCAAAGTCAAACTGCCAATTGGAATTGAACCGACTGCAAACTTTTCAGTTTCACTTCGATTTTTATAAACTCACTCTGCACTTTGTCGCATATCTTGTCACAGGGGGAGCCGTGTCTGTGACGTCACTCACCAAACACCCGTCATTACGCGTTTAAAATATAGATACAGAGAATGTCAATAATCGTTTCTCAACATAGAACCTAAAACCCAAGCATAGGTCTGATCTGTGAGATGATTAAAAAACTGTCATAGTTGTAATAACATTTGACAATAGAAACTGTGCTTAATGTCCGGTCTGTGATTTTGCATTTGATTTCTTGCTACATTGTGAGTGGCCTGATATCCCCTCCAGCACGCTGCTCGCTCAGTGTTGAATATATTTGCACATATCCATGCAACATGCAAGATGCACTCGTCAGTGGTGTGTTGGTCTGACGCTGGAAGAGACGGAATAATCCAAATGTTGACACCACACCCATGCCTTAAATTTTTAATTTAATCATATTTGCCTTGTCTAACCTGTTGATGGACCATGTTGACTTTAGGTTCTGATCATATAATCATTTTGATGCTGCTTTGATTGTAAATCCAACCTTATTTGTTTCACATCATATTTTAACCAGTGTTGTGTTGGGTGGGAGTAGTTTGAACTGTTTTACTTTGAACTGTTTGCTGGATTTTACTTTTAATGACTTGTTAATAAATGTCTTGTCTGACCCTTTGTTTCTGGTGTTTGTAATCTTTAAAGAGAGGAGGAATTCTGTCTGAATATTCAAACAAATACCCAGGTTCTCCTCTCTATTAGAGGAGAACATTTCGCAATATTAATGTCTTAAATTCAATTTTTCAGCAAATCAACATTGAAGGTCACCCCTGAAAACATCTCTACTTTTCCAGGCCAAAGAAGAATTATTAGTCCTCCTGCTTTGTGCTGCGTTGTTAGTTTATGAGCTACACAAGTGATGAAGAGTATGAACATGAGGTCCTTTAAACTTGGAAAAAAATGGTTTGAAGTGGTGGAGTCTAATTGACATAAATGTGTTTACACGGAACAAGAGTATTTTCAAATGTGGTTATTTCTATCAAAGGTTTGGTCTTAATTTCATTTAAAATTGTTGATTGCTGTAGATGTCATTTTAAAGTCCTTAACATTATTTTGAAACATTTGCATATTCCCTTTTCTTCATAGTCAACTATTTTAGTTGTTATTGTAATAAATCATTCACCAATCAAATATAATTATGAATATCTTTGATGATCATCGGCAGATAATTGACATCTCACAGTTTATTATTGATGACTGGTTTTCCTTCTGGCCATTGTCCCATCCTTGTAAACAGGACGTCTCAGATTTTGTTCAAATTTTCACTTAGACTCCAAGATGGCGTGATTAGACTGGAGGTCAAAGGTCAAGGTTGTGACCTCACAAAACCCTTTTTTACCTCGTGAACACATGGTCAAAGGTCAAGGTGACAGAGTTTTTGGCCTCCTCAACATGATGTAGGGAATTTCCACAGATTTTGATCAGCTGTCCCTGAAAGATCAACTGAGTCTGCAAAAAAACGTGTGTATGAATGACCATTATCCACATTTGGCAAATTTGAATTTGATATATAATCATAAAATGCATTGACTTAAATAAAGTAGTTCAACAGGGCTGATTAATTTGGAAACGGGTGTTCATGTTGACAACCTGCCGTTTGTGTTTGTTTACGTGCAGGGGGAATTGTGGGAGGCGATGAGCTGTGTGAAGGAATGTGTTCATCCTTGTGTTGACGCGTCTCTAAGGTAACTGGAGCCGCACAATGGCAGCAGGTCGGTGCGTAATTTCTCCCCAGAGAGGAGCCGAGTCTAAGTAAAGTGTGAAGTTCAGTGGGTCACACAGATTCGAGATTGAAGCGGTTTTATTCTCCTCACAGTGAAGTCTCAGCTCTTAACATGGAGACGGATCTAAAAAGGACTGTAGAGGCGGTGAAGCGGTGGCAGCTCAGCGGGACAGACGGCCTGCGCTCCGGCACCAGCTTCAGCACCTGGACCCCGCTGAACAACAAGCAGAGCAACGCACAGGTCAGAGGAACCGACCACAGACACACACTGACACTTCATAGAATACACTTGAAATCATAGTTGTTTGTATTCAGCCACCAGGTGGCAGATATGGATAGCTCATAGGCTTCTGCGTCACACACGTGAAACGGCACCATTTTTACTTATTTAAAAACCTTAAAACAACACAAACACATTGCGTGCCGAGGTTAAGTGAACCTAACGTGTCCACCAATAGAAAACGCGCTTTGTTGTTTGGCTAACTTGAAACAGGTGCGTAAAACAGGTGCGTAAACGTCGTCTCTCTGCCTCCAGTGGACGCTCAGGTAAATGCATTGTTTTCTTCTTAAAATCTACTTTAAACCTTATTGTTTTTTGCAACTCATGCGAATTATGTTATTTATTGTCGCCATTGACACTTCTCATGTTGTCAGTGCTTGTGTGTTTGCTACATTCCTCAAAACTATCCCTGATGTAAATGAACATGATTTGAGGGTCAATCAATCCACACGTGTAACATTTCTTCTTATTAAACTACTATCCCTGGGGAAACGTGTCAGAGGCAAGAAGCAGTACTGACCTGGATCTGTAAGGAATGGATGTGAATATTTCAATAATGTGGGGAGGTTCATTCAGACAGGCTGACATTTTACCTGTAGTTAATGATATGATCATCTTGAAGATTATATGTAGCTTTATTGATCCTCCATAGAGGAAATTCAATATAAACACATAAACAAATACAAGTAGAAATACTATAAACATGTGATGTGCAATTCTTTATTCCAGTTGAAAGACACTTATTCTTACTGAACACATAGTTTACTACAAGCTGCCTATAGATCCACATGTGTATTTAAATAGTAAAGTCAGACTTGACCCAACTTGACACTTTAATTAATGGCCTCATGCATCAGACCGACATTTTTCAGCTGTTATCACACCAGTAATCCCATTTTTTGTGTTTTCAGTAAGAGTCTGGTTTGCCGTTTCATGGTCTTCGTCATTCTGGAAGCCAGTTTGTAGCTTTTGGCAAAGTCCAGACTGTTGTGCATCAAGGTGGGGCATTCGTTCACTGAGGTTTTTTTTGCTGTCTCTGTTTTTTCTCGCAGTTATTCGAGGAGAGAGTGAACCTTGTGCTCCACTGGTTTGACCTGTGGACCGACAAACAGAGGAAACACCTGCTGCATTCTCTGCTCACGCGCTGCGCCAAGACACAGCTCACGTAAGCTCACTCCTGACCCACTCCCTCCACCCTCACACCTCTAATAAAATGTTTTTCAATTAGATTTCAATGCTTAAAATTAAAAATCAGATATTCTGAGCAGGTACTGTCGGGATTTACTGAAGGAGACTGTTCCTGTGACTCAAGTGGACTTCACAGCGGTTCTTCCAAGGTTTCTGTCCCTGTATGTGTTGTCGTTCCTGTCCCCTCGTGATCTCTGCTCAGCCGCCCAAGTCAGCTGGTACTGGAGGGTCCTTGCCGAACAGGTGAGAAGCCCAGAATAAGAAATCTATTTGAACTGAAGTTGAGAGCCACTGACCACGTCTCTCCTCCCTCTCCTCAGGACTGCATCTGGGCAAGCCGATGCACCCGAAGAGGCTGGTTCCTTCCCTACACTCCTGGAGAAAAGGAGTATGGAGCGTGGAAGAACCACTATGTCTCCTGCGTCTCCACACTGGACTGGCTTACTCCGCGGGAGGCGGCTGAGCAGTACGGCACCCTGAACCAGCAAAGCACAGGGATGACCGAGGAGGAGGAGGAGAGGAGGAATGAGAGGAGGATCAGGGAGATGATCAGAGGGAAGCTTCAGGAGGAGAAGAGTAAGTGAGGGAGAAACGACAAGGTTTCCATGCCCTCTCCCTAGTAGCTTACATATGTGATATTTGCAGGACTGTCTCTGAGAACCAGGAAAGCATGGGGCAGCCTCACAAAGCAAGGAGTCCGAGGTGGAAGTACCCAGATGAGGAGACCTGACTCTGGGATAACTTCCAATTCTTGGCCATCCCTTTCCTGGCGTCTAAACACTGTTGGGTCTTCCAGCCTCTGTCTTAGCCGGGACGGGACACAGTCCATGAGTCCTGCTCAGAGCGTGGAGGGAGCTCAGGCCTCTGCTTTATTCAGGTGAAAGTTTGATGCTGTAAATCACGTGGTTCAGCAGAAATATTTGGCCCCTCAGTTTAGCTGAACCTTAATAATGGAAATTACAAAGAATATCTAACACCTTACATCATGATTTTATTGTTAAAATCAAACCATTTATCCTCTTTTAGTGAAAGGCCAAACAAAGCCTGTGGAGCCCTGTCCTCCTTCACCCACAGTCCTGCACAACAACACACAGTCTCTCCCACTGATCGACGCACAACCACTCTCTTATTTCTGATCTCCGACAGAGTATCTGCTTATGAGGTAAGTGGAAAATACAGAAAAGAGTCTCATGAGTCTGGCGGCGCAAAGCTCCATCTCTGCATGAGATGGAATCGAGTGAATCATTGTGGATGTAGAATTTAAAGTTTAATAATGCATTTCCAGTGTGCCTGTTAGTGTAGTGGGTTGTGCTGCCACCCAATGTTTAGAGACTACAGTCCTTGCTGCAGTGGGTCCCAGTTCAAATCCCACATTGGCCAGCCCTTCACTGCATGTCATTCCCCTCTCCCTGCTTCCTGTCTCTCCTTCACTACACTATCATTAAAGGCCCAAAAAATATACTTAAAAAAAGAAAATGCATTTCCGTGATAAAAAAATACTCCTTTCTTTTCCTCCCCATGCTGAACTCAGATGGTTCTGAGTGGTGTGAAGGCAGGAGTGACTGTGATCATGTACGACCACAGAGGGACCCCCTCAGCTCTGCTAACCCAGGTGGAGAGGGCTATATCTGGGCAGAGAGTTCAGAGGTTGGGCCTTCTTGCTCCAGGAGGAACGGAGGAAATCTATCTGCTTCAAAGTGAGAATTAATAATCCTGTGTATCTTAATGTGTGGGAACACCACTGAGGTTGGTTCCAGTCCAACTTCAGTGCTAGAAGTTTATCTCTCAGGATACACATCTGCTAAAGCCATTGCTTGACTTATTTTATTTTGAAACCAGAGAAATCCATGGTTATCCTCGTCTTTTGAGCAAAGAGCTGTTCCAAGACAAATTAACAGGCACTTTTTTTCAGTTTTCAAATCCTCATTTTACCTTCGACCCTCCAGGTTACACCCTGTCAGAGAGGACTTTACTTACCCCCGACCATAGAGAATTCTGGGAAAAACTATGTGGCTGGGTGGCACCGACTGTAGACGGGGGAGGAATCGACATCTTCTCCCCGCTGGCTGCGTCTGGTTGGGACACATACTACACAGTAATCTGTATTTCTGCTTTAAGTTGTGTTTCCTGTTACTTCATCTCACTTTTTTCTCTCACAGCATCCGGAGTAGCACTCATCCAAACTCTCTCTACCCTAACTGGAGTGGAGGTCTGGGCCCCGATGGGTTTTGCGACCGGAAGTTTCCAGAACAGTGAGTCTCTAATTTACAAGACTTAGAATCTCAGGAAAACTTAGGAATATACTTTGTGATATCAAATCTACCACCTCAAAAATATCTAAGACAAATGACAGTGGGAATGACAGTAGCTGTGCCTCAATTCAGAGGCCACATCCTTCGGAGGCTTCTCTTGAAGAATTGCGTCACAGCGGCTCGACTACACTGCCCCTTTTGTAAGAATTCTTCAAACACATGCCTGACAAATGCATCCTTTCATCCCTGAGAAATGAAGGATGCAACGGGTGGATCATACGTGGCTCAACCTATCCCAGGATTCATTGCGCTTCAGTGTGGACAATTCGGTTCAGCCATCGCAATCTACGTGGTTCACCTGACAATGCAGCCCCTAAATTGAGACACAGCTAATGTCTTCAAAGCAACAAAAAATCCATTTTATATGCACTTTCCCCTCTTCTAGTTCTGAGTGAGTGGTCAAACAGCGGCGTGTGTGCCGGGCCATCGAACCAGCGACCAGCATCCCCAGGGCTCCACTATGTGACTGAGAGTGTTCTGGAGGGCTGGTGCAGACAGGCTGAGTGGATGGAGGAGGCTCTGGGGCAGCTGAGGGTCTGCCTGGGGCCACGGCTGCAGCAGGTCGGCCTCCAGGCCAGGGGCAGAGCCCTCGGTGGGTGTCGTGCACATTTAGATTCAAACACACGCAGATTTTTGAAATGGTCCGACCAGAATCTTTGAATATTGTTCATAGGTCATTATCTGTGGGAGAAAATCTGCCTGGAGGATCTTTCTGTGTCTAAAGATCTAAGCGAGGCTCTGACTGAGGGACTTGCTGCCCTCACCCGACAGGAAGAGGTGGGGACGACTGTGTCATTAGGCTGTGACAGAAACATTAACCTTGGATCGCAGCCTATCAGTCCAAGTGTCTGATTTCACATTTCTGCTCTTGCTCCTTCAGACCAGACCTTTGGAGTTTCTCATAATTTTTTTCACGAGGTGGAGTGAGGTGAAGGAGAGAGGAGGGAGTCATCCAAAGGACGAGTGGAGAGCTGAAGGAGCAGACGATTTCTCATTGGCACGGCGTAACTCCCAGAGATTAGTGCCTGAGCTACCACAAGTGCGTTCACTTTAAACTTGTCCATCCAGAGATGGTGGAAGTCACACACTTCATCGTTACACCTCCTTGTTTTGTCTGTAGACCGAATTAGATTGGAGAGGTGTCGCTGCCAGAGAGCTGCACCACAGCGAGTGTCTTTATCTGGGGAGACTGGGCGCTGTGCTGAAGGTAAATCCTCCAGAAATTTAATTCAGGAAATGTGTTGATGATATCTGACGTGAGAGGCTATTGTTTCAGGTGCAGTCCTGATTGAATATTAGGTGAGACAGATGCTAATAAATGATAGGAACTCACTCTTTCAGCAAACTATGAGGAGTATATAGAATTCCAGGTGTTTTAGATATTATATGAATCATGGTTCTGCAGGTGCATTGCCTATTTTTCCCTACTTTTTATCAGAATGTGAATTCACCCACCCTCAAAGTGTTGTTTGTCCATTTAAGTTAAGATGAGAGGAGAGAACAGACGTTATTGGAAAACTTGAATAGTCCCGTCTCTGTGCCGCAGGTGTACCAGGAGCCTCTTGCTGCAGCTCTGAACTCCAACAGAGCCATTATCAGCTACGCCGACATCCAGATTATCCTCAGCCCTGTCGTGCAAATACTGGAGCTCAACAGGTACACACACACACATACACACGTGTTAGTGTGGCACAGTCTCATTTGTGTCCCTGTGTGTGGACGTGACAAGATAGGTGTGTGTGTTGCAGAGTGTTTCTGGGAGATCTCCAGGCGAGGCTGCAGCAGTGGGGTGCTGAGCAGTGTGTTGGAGACGTGTTTGTAAAACTCTGCTCAGGTCTCAGAGTCTACACCAACTACCTGAACAACTACACCACGGCCCTGTGCACCATCGACAAGGTAAAACCAAGTTTGTCTGAGTTCGTGACTCAAGATTCATTTAGTGTATCACCATGTAACACAGGATTGGGTTATGAACTACATCAATAAATGCATTGATGAAGATGCATTTAAACTGTTACACATTATCTACACATTGAAGGTTGTTACTGGTCTGTAGCCGTATTTGTTTCAGTTCAATGGCTTATAATCCCACCCACCCTATAAAACCACATTTAAATTCACTAAAGCTGAATTTGTATTAAAACATGCTCATAAATATCAGTACCCTACATATGCCTGATTTTGTTCTCATCAAGATCCACAAATTATTCCCAAGTTTCGTGAAAATACACTCAGTAGTCTTTCTGGTGTCTAACAAATGGACAGGGGTGAAAATGTAAGCTTCTGGTCGGTAATTAATTAAGGTAATGCGAAAAAAATGAAATCCTGAAAACTTTGGAATTTAAAGTTTAAAGTCAGTTTAAAAGAAATCAGCTTTTTGTTTTTTACTCTTTCTTCTTTTTTGTGTGTGTGTGTGTGTCTTAGTGCAGGGAGACAAAACCTTCGTTTCGGGCTTTCCTGAAGAGAGCAGACAGAACTCTTGCAACACACATGCTGAGGTAACCACACACACACACACACACACACACACACACACACACACACACACGTACACACACGTACACACACGTACACACACGTACACGCCTGTATACGTGTGTGTGTGTGTGTGTGTGTGTGTGAAGCCTACAGGAGCTGCTGCTGTGTCCAGTGTGGAGAATACAGGAGTACGTGACCCTGCTTCAAGCTCTGTCCTTACACACACATCTCGGCCACCCTGACCACACACACGTCTCCTCTGCCCTAAACACGCTGCGACTCTACAGAGACTTCATACAAAAGGTGAAACACCCAAACATGTCACGCAAAAATAACTGTTTGTATTAAATGTACAAAACTGTGCTCAGTGCAATCAAACAAATGTTTTTCTGTCTGTTTCAGTTAAAGCGTAATTCAGAGAGAGACAGACTGATGGAAGAAACACAGCAGATGATCCAAGGCTGTCCGGTGAAAAACACCAGCTTCCTTTCTTTCTGTTTTATTTTCTTACTCACACTAAAATCACAAACTAAACTGCTAATTTGATATGAATCTGTCGTGTGTTCATGTGTGCAGAACCTCAGGGAAGGAAACCGGCAGCTGATAATAACTCAGGATGCTGCTCTGCTCAGGAGTCCTGACGAACAGATTCCAGACTCTCTCAGGTAACAACCCAAATGATTTCTGTTGGTTCAGTAACATTATTTCTAAAACATTTGTATCTTCTTCTTTTGTCTAATTAGCTTTACTTTTAGTCACACGCTTAACTTGTGTTCGTTAAATAAATGATTAATTAATCTATATTGATTTGCTGATGAAAATTGAAGCATTACACAAACATTTGTGTGTTCATCCTGTGTGTTTGTGTGTACATGTATGATCAGGACCTATGAGCAGGTGTCAGAAGTGGGCCTCTTCCTGTTTAATGACGCTCTGGTGCTGACACGGCGAACCGTGCATCACACACCTTTCACGCTGACGCACCAGAGCACACACACTTTCCTGGCGTCTGTGGCCCTCACCAGCCTGGCTGTCAGAGAGATCACACACACGCGCTGTACGTTTGGTTCCGAATGAAGAATATTCAATAATGGCACAATTATAGTATATAGTTTTTGATGAATTAACGCCCCTCACTGCAGATGTTCGCCACGCCTTCGTCCTGGATGGTCCTCGCCGTTCGTGGGTCTGTGCCACAGAGAGAGTTGACGAGAGGGATCACTTCCTGTCTGTGCTGCGTTCAGCCATCAACGTCGCTCTGACCCCACATCAGTGACACAAGGAGGTTTGGACACCACACCACCACTGATTTTACAAAGACCAGGAAAGCCTCAACAGATAATAGTTTCATATCGGTCAGATACTTAACATACTGATACTGAAATGCAAACCATTACAGCGTGATTGATGCTGCTCATTGTGATTTCTACTCTCTTGCTCTGTGAACCTGGTATAGCTTGAACTGCTGCAGTGGTTTCGTGTGTTGTAATAAGTTGTTGTAAGTTGTTGTCACAGTGGATACTGGACCTTGGTTTGTTTGGTCTTGGACAGTGCTTTGTGGTCCCGTCTTATCTTTTTGCGTGAAAACACTTGTAAATACAACTAAGTGGATTTTGTTAGAAGGTTAGGTTTTCACCCTCTGTGAAAACCTGTCCCCCTCGATGTCCTTGACATCTTTTAATTTGTCTGGAGCTGACGCTGCTCCAAAATCCACCTGGGACTAACTCGACAATTCTTGCATCACACAGCATTTCTCTTATAAATGACTACTCTTTATATAAAATCATAAAAATTGTGTTGCATTGCCCCACTTATATGTCCAACATTATAAACTTATATCCCCATTGGTCAGTGTTAATAAAGACACATGTAAAGATGTTTTAATTTGCATGCTTTTCATTGTTTTCATTATAATTTTGATTTTGGGCTCCACTGGAATAGGGTGACATGTAACATTTAAGATGCACATTATTTGTCTCAAATACTCTTATTTAAGCTCATGCACAAGCCCAACCTTCCCAGAGGCTCCCTAATCAGCTGTAAACACTTCTGTAGCCTTGGTAACAATAGCATCTGTTCAAATGAGGCGTTTCAGGTGGATATTGGCCCTTGGCTGACTTGTTTTCGCGACGATACAAAAGGAAAGAGAAAAAACACAACATGAATGCATCATAGTTTCTCGTGGGCTATTGTTTCTGTTCTTTTTTCAATATATATTCAGATCGGAGACCATTCTCTTGCTCAAGGTATAAAAAGTCTTTATTGATAACCAAAAATAACACAAATGTCACATTAGAGAGATTATCGCTATCAATTAGCCGCGTTAAAACACATTCACTTTACACTTTTGTACATTATTGCCACTTATTCTTTAAAAAACGTGTTCCATCTCTAGAAATGGATCAATGACTGTTTCATTATCTGTATTTAAGATGGACACAGATACTTACAGTACAAATGCACGTTCACTTTCAATAATATGACAGTATATCACACTGGGTGTTCTAATATTCAGTTTTATTCACTTTGATCACAGTGACACCCTCACACAAAGCTGTGACTGTAAATAATGATCTCATTTATTAAATGAATCTACTTCCTACAAATGTTTGTTCTATCAGTGTGAGTACAGAAACAATACACAGCTGCACTTTGCAGTTTTCAGAGCACCAGAGATGAGGATTGGGTAAAAGATTTGCAGTTGAATTAAAGTAAAACGATTTAGAAAAGCAGTTTTGACTGTTATTTTTCTTTTGCAGGTAGTTTCTAAGCAAAATCACTAATTTTAGGTCTAAGTCACCATGAGGATGTTATTAGTGGAAGTGAATATATATGTAACCTGATCTTCTGCCCTAAAAAATGAAAGAAAAAACCAAAAGGGAAGAAGTATCAGTGATGTCACAGTTTGCGATTCACTAGATTGGGGTTGTTGTTGTTTGCTGCCGGCATGTGTGTGTGCTGCTCTTTCCCTGTGGTGAGATGACTCTTGTTCTGCTGTCCTGGATTCGCAGCCGTGCCGTTTGTCCCTTTCTGGGCGCTGTAGCTTTTCGGTTTGGGGATTCTTGTAGGTCCTGATCGTCGGAATGCTTCTAGAGGTATCTGTTGGGGGGGGCGCAGACAAACAATGAAGTAGAGTCAGACAAAGAGTACTGTTTTAAAGAACAAGACAAAGACAAAGATAACAGTGATTATGAATTTGATTTGTTCCACACAGGCTGAAATGTTTTCAGGCGCTTGGGCATGATTGGTGCAATACTGATTATGACCACTAGATGATGTAAAATCACAATATATGGACAGTAAATAACCACAAGTTTCACTTCTGCTCTTTGGCTTTGTCCCTAAAAGAACTGTTGTGGAACGCCAACATATATATATTTGCCTTGCATTTCTGTAAATTAATTTTTTTTAACCAGTATGTAGTAGGAAATACGTTTTGCACATCATTCAATGTCCTGCTAGTGAGAGATAACAATCCAATGAGGTGAAATTTGTAGCATTAAGTCAATAAATCAGTGAGAACAACATTTATCTGAACCTATTGACCCGCATTTAGTAAATCATAGTGTACTTGTTAATATTTTCTGACATGATTTAGACTCAATGAATAATAAATTAAGAAAATAGTCTGGAGAGTTTTCCATTACACACACTCCTAGGTTTCTTAAAATTGCCTTCTATGAACCAGAACCTTTTTTTGACTGTTGTAGCCCCAGTTAATTTTAATAATAATAATAACAGTGCAGGTTTGTTTCCTTAGGAACCAGTGTTTCACTGTTTTTGCAGCAAACAAGAAAGAGGAAATATGACGGGAGACCTTGCATTTCTCAGATTCTTAAACAACGTACTGCTCTGCTTACTGTGCAATCAGGTTTCAATCAGCGTGTTTACACGCACAGCAGAATGCCAAGACACTGAGGTACATCTCTTTTTGGATTGCTGCTTGCACAATAGAAACCATATCCTGTTTACAGTAACTCTGATAAGATGTTTCCACAGTTATGAGAAACCTCAGCGGCGGCTCACACACTGAGCCACATGCGCTCCTCGTGCGTTTGTGTTTACTCCTCGCAAATTCATGAGCAAGATTCAGGGATTTCTATAAACAGCTCGTACAAGCAATTATCCAAAGTACTTTGTGCATGTAACCACACGAGCTGTCATCTTTGTCTCTCTAGGGGGTTTGCCTTTTCAGAGAATGCTCTCGTTTCTATCTTCCTAGTTTTTATGACTAATATTTAAGAATATTTCAACTTTCTGAGCGTTCAGACAAATGAACAGTCAGACGTCTGAGTCTGCTCCAGAGACTTAATCACTCAGACAGTAGTCACCGGGCAATTATTTTCTTTGCCACTCGCACATGATTTCCTTTTCAATCACATTATCACAGCTTGAGTCTTTGTTCCTCTCAAAACTTCCTCTTTTGAATTAAAATTTGCTGCAGCCTTTAAAGATACAGTTGATACTATATCTGTTTGCCTCACTGCCATTTGAAGATTCTCTAAATCTGAGTCCAAGTGAAAGTTTCCAGTGTTTCCATGAGTTTCATCACGTCACTGACTTCATTCCCAAGAACCACCCTCTCTCTCTCCAACTGGAGAATGTTCATGTGGATCTTGAGGTTTTGAGAATTAACAAAAATCCGCAGTGAACTATATCCTTAAATATTCATCCAGGGTATAAATTTCAGAATAAGTAGGGCCTTCGCTTCAACAGAACTAATGGGCCAGAAAATCGCTACGGGCTCCACGTCATGGGAGTGTTGTTGATTTTACGTGGGAAAAAAATAGAAAAAGACCTTAATGTGCAGCTTTGTTCTCTCATATATCAGCGTTGCAGCGGGAGTTCAGCTAAGTACTTCCTCTGCCCGGTGCTCTGTAATACCGGCTGTTTCCCCAGCAACCAAACACGAGGTTTGTTGTGGTGCTCATGCAGCAGTGGGAGAGAAGACGTTCACAGCGTCCCCACACTCACACGCAGGCCTTTTGTTAAGAGAGTGCCCCCACACCACTGTTTGTTCTCCCCCTCCGGTTTATTGTGCCCTTCAGTCAAGGTGAGCGAATTCCTCTGCGATTATTATCGCCATGGGCCTAAAACAAGGAAACCCACCCTCGCCTGCAGAACGATACACACCTTGTCTTTCTGGCACGGGGTTTGGAAATTAGGCTTAGTTGTTTGTTTTTTGATATTTTATTTTCACCCACATGAATAATCAGCGGCGTCACTGTGTGTGCAGTGCGATAACCACCTCAGTCTCAGCCAACAGAAGCAAGAACCGCTGTTTGCTTCTCAATGAAAGGCCCTTTGGATTCCAGCGTGTCACCAGATACTCATTTTATCAGTCTGGCGAGGACGCCGTGCACAGATCTATCCTCTTTGGCCGAACCAGATGAGCACAGTTTATGAATCGACTAAGTGTAAAGTGAGTCGGGGGGTAATTGAGGTCGCAGACAGCAATTCCAGCTGCTGGACGCTTTCTGGAGTCGTGATTTAATGAATAGCATCTTGTTTAGCCCCTACATCATTTCATAGCGCCCAGACGGGTTTGGATCCGGTTTCTCCAGCTGCGCTCCTTCCCACTCATTCAATTTAATGCTTGATTTAATCATCTTCTCTTTGTCACACCGGGTTGTGTGTGTGTTTGGGTTGTGTTTGCCACTTTCCTGCAGCAGTTGTCTACCTCCATCTACATGACACTGAGGATTTGGTGATATTTTAGTGTTTTTAGTCAGTTCTCAACGCTGTCAAACACAAATCTAGTTGTTGTTTATTAGAGAAGGTCATGTTACATCTAATTCATGCTCACCTCAGTTTCTATGAAAGTTGTTATCTCAAATCTGTCTTTTACCCTGAAGTTGACAAAATAGCTTTGGACAGTTATTTTTTCAGGTGTGGCTGCTGCACCTTCACCTTGGTGACCTGAAAGTTTTGAAATTTGAAGCAAAGAATTCATAGTATTTGTAGTATTCATCATACTTATCTATATCAGTCACTTTACTCTCTACTCGGGCTTTTATTGAATACTATTTTTGCTTATATTTTTATTTTATTCCATTAATTTTGCTTCCTTTTTGATAGTTGTACATTTTCCTTGGTAAATCTTGATAAAAGGCACAATTTCATTTGACACTCTTCATAATTTCATTGCGATTTCACATGGCAAATTCTTCCACCTTGAAAGAATATCAGCTCTGTGTGCGTGTGTGTGTGTATATCTATGTTTTTTTTTTTAAGCAGTTCATCCTGTTGAGATAAAGCTCAATTAACTCTTATTTCAAATATATAAATGCGGCTATATATCTGTTTTTGCAGAAACGAAGTCATAGTACACATTAAACCCTCTCAGTGGCTTTAAACTATCATAGCTAATGTGCACAGTTGACATTAATATACTCATACTCTTATTTAGATCTACATTCTTGCTTTTATTTGCAGTTAGAAGAAGAAGAAGAATTCTTTTTCTTTGAGAAGTTCAGTTTTGCTTTGTGTTGAGTCATGACATGAATGAGTGAAAACCATCCCACATCCTCTCCAGTGTCCTCTCATCTCTCCGTCTGCGCATCATCTTGTTCTGACCTTAAGTGCAGTCCGAATTCAGACGAATACCACGTACGTGGTAACTTTTCCACTGCTTTAAACCACACATAGAAGGATGTTTATACACAGAAGAACATTCGTAAGTGCGACTGGTGATTAATTTCAAAGGACATGATTCATGGGAGAAAGAAAAATAAAACAGTCGCTTCGGGTTGCAACCCAATGGCTCACAAGCTAAGTGAGACTTTCTGCTGAAAGAGCACTGAGGCTAAGTTATCAACAAATCCATAAATGTTTCTCAGATCCAAACACTGGATCATGTTTACTGTGTGTTTCCTGGGGTTCAGTCCTCAGTGCATTCGCTCTTAGCATTGTGCAATACAAGGTTTTATTGATTTCATAAGAACGATTCGATTTTTGGAGAAGTACCTCTTGTTGAGGTTTGAGTTTTTTATCACTTTTTTAGCAGTAAACACTTTTTTCATTCTAGAGCATTCAGTTGTAATTCTATCAAATCTCACCTCGCTTTAAATGCAATTGCACCCTCCGGTTTAAAAGTTTTAAACAGAGTTTCCACTGTATCATTAAATAGAGCTTCAAGTTCACATCATGCTGGTTTTCATTCTCGGTCACTGGGTTTCTGTGCAAGAACAAACTATGACATCAGCCTTTGATTGTAACTTAAGCAAGCAAGCACATGTGAGAATCCCAGGATTTCTTTTTTTGTCTTGTCATCTGGTAAAGTATGAGCACAAGGTTTTTTACTCTTTGGTATTATTTAATTAGATCTAACAGAGTGTTGACAGGTTTCATGTTCAAATCTGAGCATGTGAATTGTAATCTTTTAATGACACACTATGCAACATAAATACACTGGATTTAAATCTCAAGTGTGAAAAAGTTACTGTGCATGCACCAAAAAAAAAGAAATCAAGTCAAACAACCTCCTTCAATCTAAAAGCATTTTCCACAGATCATTTTTTTAATTTTACACAATCAGAACATGCTGGATTTAGTGAATAAATGAAATTGGCAAGCATGGATGTCAAACTAAAACATAAACACGTCTTTTTGCACACTTTAATTCTCAGAAAAGTCAAACAAATGATTCATAATGCACTATGTGTTATGTGAAGTATAAAAACTGGCATGATACATCAGTGTGAATAGTCGGACTATATGGCGCAATTGCCATTGAGTACAATACAGTAAGTGCACATAAGTTAAAACCTGGTGTTGTGTCAAAGTGTGTTCAAATAATGTTGTCATCTCATGCAGGCAAACAATTGTCTGATCACACAGAACCAAGCAAACCTACCAAAATAAAAATGAAAACATTCAAACTTTAGTTTAAGCTCATAAATCAAGTAAAACAGACGTGTAAATGCATCAGGGTGTAGAGTTGGGGTTTAAGGGTCTTAACTGGAACTGGATTTTCATGGGCATGGTTCAAACAAAGGATGGGATGGAGGGTTTGAGGGGTTATCAGGTCAGTTGTAGACATTACTTACTGTAATTTGTGATGGCCTTTGGATTGGGGTGGAGGTGGGTTTAATCATGATGCTACTTGTGATTTTGCTGTTGCCTTTGGCAGTAGGAGTACTGCAGTTTGCAAGCACCTGAGTCCTTTGCTCTTGGAGTCCGGGCGTGTGGCATGGACTCAGCGTTTGTGTCGGGGTGCTGATGCTCTGAATGAAAGGACTGCCTAGGTGAATGTGAATTTTGTTGTCTTCTGTGGTGATGACGTTTGGTCCTGAGCTGTTGGACCTCTGGACCTGCCAGCTGCTCTGCCTTTCAGGGGTCACGCGGAAGACGGCGTGCCCTCCCAAAACCTCCACTGGCTCCGTGGAGAGGGAGCGGTCAGGGGTGCCAGTTGTGACAGACACGATTTGTATCGGTGACATGGCTCTGTCTGGTGTGTCGGAGCCACAAGAGTCTGGGGTCATTGCTCTGGAGTACGTGGCCATAGTGAAAGGCGAGAGGGCCCGATCTGGTGAACACAGCTCATCGGACAATGGGGAACCTTTAGATTTTGTTGTTGGGGAGATGGATTTTGCAGTAGGGGATAGGGAAGCATTCTGAATAATGGTAATTCTCTGTTTGGGTGGACCTCCACTTGTGGGTATGACGGCAGTGCTGGTGAATGACTGGGTGTTTTCTGTGGTTGGGCTGGTGATCTCGAGCGTTGCTCTGTTGTGTCCGTGGTCAGGAGTCACTTTAATGTGCAGAGGCTGCCCAGGACTGTGGGTCAGAACGACATCTCCGGGCTGGACGTGATTGCCATTCTGCCGCGGTTGCACTTTGCCATTCACCTGATGGGGGGTGTCTTTGTTTTTCAGGAATGGGACTCGTGCTCTTCTCATGTTGTTGTTTAGGTTATTCACGTTATTCATAAGTGAGGGGCTGCATTTGGATAGCTGAAGCTCGTTACTGTAATTTGCATTATCTTCCGGTTCGCTCCCGTCATACAGTTTGCCGTTCACCACGGCACGCTCCAGTGGTGCCACTGCTTTGCAGTTGGGAGACATGAGGTCTTGTGGCTCTGTCTGAACTTCCTTTGTGGCAACATGAAGGTCAGAAAAGCGTCTTCCGTTCATCCCAGGGCGGAGACTTTTGCTGAATCGCCTATATCTTTCAAGCTCTCGAGTGAGCGTCTCCATTTCTCTGGCCAGTTCTTTGTTTCTGACCTCCTGCTGGGTCAGTTTTCTTTGCAGTGATGAGTGGTCAGTTTTCATGCGACAAATGGACTCCTCTGTCCCCATGTATTCGTGTATCTTCTCTTTCAAGGCTGCCACCTCTCTGCTCAGATGACTGGACTTTGCCTCCTCGTCCTTCAAGCGCCTATAAAGAACATGCTCTTGGTTGCACTCTTTCTTTTCAGCCAGTTGATACTGTGAAAGTTCTTTTCTGGATATTTCCAGCTCCTCCATCAAGGCCTTTGCCTTCTCTTGTTCGTTGGTGAGTCTTTTCTCCAGTGATTCAAACTCCTCTGTTTTTGATGAATCACCCTCGACCACCTTCATGTCCTTCAATTTGCGTCTGAGGCGTTCCACTTCCTGCGTCAAATCCTGAACTTTGTTATCTTCCTGTTGGAAGCGGTTAGCAATAGGTGTTTTGATGTGCTCCTCTTTAGCTTTGTTCCTCAGGTATTCCCTTTCTTTGGTCTCCATGGATTGCATCCGTTTCTTCATCATGTTTATCTTTGAATCCAAATCCATGCTTTTTTCCTCCTCGAGCCTCAACTTGGCCTTCAAGTCATCCCTTTCCTTTGTCGCACTGCACATTTTCTCCTCCAGCTCAGCCTTCGACCTCAGTGCTTTCTTACTCTCCTCAATTAGCTTCTCTGTGACTGATGTAACTTTGTCCTGCTCAGCCTGAAGTTTGCCGGTGCTGTTCTGGACCTTGTTCTCCATTTGCTTAAGCTTCTCCGCCATAGCTTTCCTCTCATCCACAAGCATGACTGTGAGAGTCTTTAACTTTGTTAGATCTTCCCTCAGTGTCAGCTCCGCTTTTCCCAGTTGGGTTTCAGCTGCCTCCAGATCTTTCACCCTGACTTTTAAGACTTCCAGCTCACTAGTCAGAACCTTTGACACTGTCCTCTCCTTCTCCAGGTTACCTTTAAGTGAGCTGCACTCTTGTTTACTCTTGCTGAACGCATCCTCTAATTTCTCTAAGTCCATAATTCTGTGGTTCAGTTTATCGACTTCAGCCTTCAGACTTCGGCTTTGATTGGCCTCTTTCTCCAGTTTCTTGTTGAGGTCCCGGCAGTGGTCCTCCATTCTGATCAACTCTTCATCCTTTCCCTCCATTTCAAGGACCCTCTTACGTAGTTCTTCAAGCTCCGACATAAGGCTGGAGTTTCCACACTCGCCGCGGCTAATTTTATCCCTGAGCTCCTGCAGTTCCTCCTCAGCTCGGCGCAGGGTCTTGTTGGTCTCCTCCAGCTCATCCAGCTGCCTGCTGAGAGTTGACATTTTCTGGCGCAGCTGCCTGCTTTGGGCATCCTCGCTGGTCAATTTGGCAGTCATGGTCTCTTGCTCCAGATGGTATCGACAAGATTGGTCACGTAGCTCAGACTCCAAGCGAAAGACCTTTTGCTCCTCTTCCTGCAGACGGGCATTAGCTGAGCTGAGCTCCTCCTGGGCTTGTGAGGCACTGGCACTTAGTTCTTGGACTTTAGCCGTTTGTTGATTCAGCTGCTCGGTGAGACGCTGCTGTTCATCCACGACCATCAACGCAAACGACTTGAGTTTTGTCAGCTCCTCCTTCAGACCCGTGACCTTTTTGTCGTTCTCTCCGTCTTTTCGTTCTTGGTACGCCTTCTCCTGGTCAATTAACAGCTTCAACCTGTAAAAAAACAAAAACAAGGCAAATGTGAAGATTTTCAGTGGTGACATATTATTTCCCACTGTAGTTGCAATTTCTCAATTTTTATTTCATATTTTTGAGACACTTTCAAGTAAATTAAATCATTGTGAAACCAAAATTATCAGGGTTTTTGACGTATATGAAAGATGCCTGGGGAAATCTACACCCCCACTGTCAACTCCAAGCATTGGCACATCATAAACACTGTTATTTTCCCTGCATTTCTGTGGAGGATTAAAGATTTTATGTCATGGAAAATTGAACACATCATAAAATACCAGAGCTACTGAAACTCTCTTAAGATTGGTAGTCTAAAATACCTGGGGTTCATTTTTTTGTTGCCAACTAATTCTCGTATGGTTTGGAAACCTGAGTTGAAGCTGTGAATATTCAACCTTGAGTTTAACAATCAGGGAATTTCTAAAAGTTTCCATACTGCACTGAAGGACCTGTTAAATCCAATGGGAAATGTGGAGAAAAAACAAGGTGTGACAAACTGTTAATTTGAGGGACCACGTTGAATTTTGATCAATCTGCAGCATTCCTTCATCAAACATGTTCCCATCATTAACTATGTATTCAAGAAGTTAGTACACTCATACTCAAACTAAAGAAATACTTCATCATTGCCCAATAAGCCACATTTATCTTCAAAACACAACTGATATAAGAATTACAAAAACCAGTAGCAGTGTGGTAAAAATCAATGTGACAGTTTTGCATGTTTGATTTATATTTCAATGAATAATCGCATATGCATGAAACCCACATGGGGTGAAACAAATGATGTCAAGGTACATTACACATGTGCCATTAGTTGCAGTGCTTTAAGTGCAGTGTGTCGCAGGGTCAGAGCGTCTGGCCTAGGCATATTGTACAGTACCAGGCCAGAGTCTCCACAGCCCCAGGGGAAGGGATGTTATGACTGCTGTGTGTGCAGCTGCCAGGCATTTCCACACAGATGGCCCACTGGCATGGAACAATCCTCTAATTAAGGGGTTCCTCTACTACCAGCCCTCCTCCCCACTACCAAAAAACCACCACCAACCCTCCCTGTTTTTTTTTTCTTATACATTTAAAGGAATTCCCCATGCTTCCAAAGGCAATTACAGTCCCACAGAGTTTATACTGAAGTGCACACACACACAAAGAGAAATGCACACTCTCAGGGATCGCTCGCCCCACATGCATGGGGTTTTGGGCCATGATGTAAGTGGTGGTAGGGCGGGTCACTTCTCAGCAGTGGAGTGTGTGTCATTTCTTTCTTCAGTAGCTGCTAAAGGGTGGGAGTGGGTCAGGGGACACATGTAACTGGATCCATGTGTTGTACATGAACACCCGACTATACAAAACATGCAATAAGATATTATAAGCATAATAATCAAGAGTTCATTATTAGTGTGGTTCTGGTGGATTAGGACATGTTGGTGTTTTTATGGCCATGTTTCAAGAAGCAAATAAACTGTAATTATACAGACTTGATTTAAAAAAAATTTCAAAGCTGCTCGCTGCTAAAACGGAAAAATCCATGCCTCAGAAAGATCTGTCATTTAGCCAAAAGTCTTGCCTTCACCTTACTTCACCAAGTACTTCTACTTTTGGTACTTTGAGTATTCGATGTTTGCATTCATGTACTATTACTCAAGTAAGGTTTTGAATGCTACACTTTTACTTGGAACTCTATTTCTAAAAGAGTACATTTTGTCCACCACTGACCTTTTGTATTAAAATCGCTGCCACCCCATCATTTTAGTCATTACAGTTTTCAATCAAACCCCAGTGTCGCCAAGAACTACTTTGCTTGAAGGTGTGTGAATACTCCAGTTGCTCAGACTTTTTTCTGTCTGGCTTTTGTGGACTTAAAATTACCCTTGGCTGTGAAGAAGTGCTGATAACATATTTAAATCATCATTCATCCTTTTTTTTCTCAAAGACTCTGGATAATAGATGTAATTCGCGTTATCTAGGACCATGCATGTGTTGAAAAATTTACTGTGAGTGGATAGACAGTGAGTGAAACTCTTATAAAACAAGCAGACATGTCCCCCGTGGACCAGCCTGTCGCCTGTAATTACTGTTTATTCAATCCCTTATCTCAGACGCTGCTGTTTTTCTGGTGATGTAATCAGCCAAATTAGAAAGATAAATGTGCTTTGCTCCCTGGTAGGACTGGAAACCTTGTCTATCGCACTGTATGTACGGGAGGCCTCTTTACATTAATAACGGCAAGTCCTGTCAGAGGAAACTGCTCGTAATGCTCAAAACACGAGCCAGCGTAGCCACATCTGAGATTGACTTGCAAGTTGTGGGGATAATGGACAGAGTGAAAAAACTTAATGAGTAATAATAGCTTAACTGACCAGCTTTTGCAATCGAATGCATGTCAGTCGAAGCAGCTGCCACATGCATTCAGAGCGCATAAATAATCCAGCTGATCTATCCAGCATTCGTCCACATTTCCATCCCCGTCATGTTTTATCTCGGCCTTTCATGCAGAGGTCCGCACACACTGAAAGGACATTATTTTTTGAGAAATGCATTGTAAAGCAGGTGACGTAACAGTTTAATGGCTATCGACATCACAAAGGCACCTGACCACCCACTCTGCAGCCTGTCCAACCTTTGCAAGAGGCGCCAATTTTTACACCGGTTTCCCCTGAAAGCTGAGGCACGACCACCATTGCAGGTCGTTAATGTTCCACGGAAAAACGGGTCACGGGGAGTGATTTGGTGGATTGGGTGCTTAAGTAGACAGCTTAACTTTATGCTATTGTTTCTGGCTTTCTTGCAAGTATCCCCTTTGCCTTTCGCTCAAGTGTACGCGAATAAAAGTGCCATTTAAAAAAAAAAGAAAAGAAAGAAAACGAATCTGAAACATTACTTTACAGTGGGCATCCCTGGCTTTATTTGAAGCTGGAAACTCTGGCTCACCCGCCTCGCAAAGCTGTGTTACACGTTCCATATGTAAGGGCTGCTGTGCCATTTCCTAACCACAAGTGATGATGTTATATATGTAGAGAGTGATGTATCCTGTGCACACACACACGACCACATCAGTTTTAACAGGAGACTTGTGCACGGTGGGCTGAATGCCCTCCTGTGTGACAGAGTTTGGAGGGAGGACACTGATTAATGCGGTGTATTTAAAGTCCACACAGGCTGAGTGATATGCCCCCAGAGTGCAATCTGCATGTGTAAAATATGGAGCATTGATATTTATTAACTTCCTGCTGGTGGCATTACAGTTAATGTAGTGGTGTGTTACCAAGAGGCCAGATTTAACCATCCTAAAATAGTATTTTAATAAAACCTTACACCCCCATTCAGTATTTTAATGCCACATATAATGTTCTGTTATTAAAACACAAGTGCAATTTCGTAATAAGTTAAAATTCCAGAGGTGACTCTTAATTTCAATTATATAACGGCAGTTAATGTAATTAACCTCCATGCAAGCTGTAACAATTATGTAAGAGTGAGTCAGTTTTTCTATATCTTCTGTTAAAACAAAGTTGTTTTCATCAACCACAGTCAAGAGAAAAGATCTAAATTCATCAAAACATTATCAAATGTTTTTAATAAATTAAAAAGCCAAATACCTCCTGGTTTTTATGCTCAAACATAATGAAATGTACATTTCAACACATCTGACATAGATTGTACACTAATCTTTTTGCTCCTGTACACATGGGATACAATCCCATAAGGACTAAGTCATCACTATTTTCACATCATGCCATTTTAACATATTCCCAATGGGACATGGTTAACTTTCCTCCAGTAAACAGATTTAAACCTCATCACTGTTTAGATAAGTCACTTCTCTAGTCACTTCTCAGCCAGCGTGTTAGAATAGTTACTTCCTCAGTTTCTGAAAAATGAATCAAGTATATGAAATTTAACTCAAGGAAATTAAAGTTAAGTTAAAGCTAAAGTTTCTGCTGAAATTGAAATTTATTTTAGTGAAATTAAAGTGTTTTTTGTTTTAAAGTTCAGAAATTGACACTTAATACATTAAAAACACTTTGACACTTAAAAAGTACAGAAGCGCACCAGCATGAAATGATGCTGCCCTGAACATCTCTAGGTTTCCGAGCCAATGAGGACTTTTTAAAAAGTTTAAAAACTTTTCCTCCCACAAATGCTGAGGTTTGTGTGAATGTTCATTGTGCCTACCTGCACCAAAGGCTTCCCCAGTGTCACTGCCATAAGCTCCGTATGTTGCCGCACAACACCCGACCCTCAACTCTTCCTCTGTGTGCGAGTCCCGCTCTCTAAGTAGCTGTAATGTGGGCATTCCTACAGTCAGACCAAACAATAAGGGATGTGCTCCCTGCCTATGGACCATTACATCATCAACATGTCCTTATAAGGAGTTTTGCATTGCACAGGCTTGCAAGAAGGGGGTGTGCTTGCTCATATGTGTAAGCTCGCAGTGTGTTCATGTGCGAGCGTGCCTCCTGAAGTAACTGTTTAACTAAAGGATGTGGCAGAGATGAGGGAAAGGTTTCTCGTTGACGTCTGTAACGTGTGAAATATCTGGCCGGTCTGTCACTTTGCTCCGGAGGCAGGGAAGTAGGTGAGGAGAGACGAGGAGTTCGAGTTACACCGTTTCCTTCTGGCTCTTGTCAACTTAAGTCACTTGTTCAGCCAGGGAGGCAGGAAAAAGAAAAAGAAAGTCAGCTCGCAAAGTTAATTCTTGGATGGGGATTTGTAATTGAGTCCAACGCTGAAGAACAAGACAAGACATATATCTCTAAAATGTGAAATGTATATTCACGGCCCACACCTAATAGATCCCCTGACATTTGGATAAATTCACTGAAAGGGTTTGTTGCTGATTGAAATCACAGAATGACAATAGGCTCTTACTTTGGTGAGTGTATAGTTTCAGGGAGCAATGCCAGCACTGCTAACATAATGGTTCAAGGAAACCCTGGGCAGAAAACTATTTGGTCTCAGACGTCAGTGTGTCTCTC